ATAAAAAACCGCAGCATTCTCAGACGTTTAAGAATCTCTGAAAGAAATCCTCAAACATTTATTGTATTTCCCACCCAATATCACTTAATCAGACTCTAATATTTTAAGTGATGCAATTCAATTATCCTTTCATGGTTCCCCAACTTGCTAGACTCAGATAGTTTAGGTGGGATGTTGAGGTTCCTGGTTTAAAACCCAGAAAAATCAAGCTCACATTTGGCATAACCTTGCATTAGGAGAACCTACAGTAGTACAGTCAATCATTGCCAGAAGAATGAACACTGTCTAAATGATTCTCATCTCTATGATTCCACTGATTATGTATTTAAAGGTGCAGGTTGGGTGGCCACATACTTTCAAGACTAAAACCCTAGTCTAAAACCCTTTTCTGTTACATTCAGAGCATCAAAACAGCCCCCACCTCCTGTCCTTTGGGTTTCAATATGATTATTAACTTGTTTAAAATGCAAATGCGTTTCTTGAACAGCTGCTTTGGACAAAGACCACCCAGTGGGTATAAGGCATTGTTGATTGCAGATAAGCAGTAATGGGGTTCCGGGGGAACTTATTTACCCCTCTAAGGCACACTACTATACAGGAGACTTGCAAACACATCACTGGTAAAAAGAAAATGAAATAGTGTCCCCATTTGGGTGTAATAACGTGTGTCACGATGAAAGCGATCTGAGGTAAGAAATGTGAACGTGCTGGATCAGACATTTTTTTTTCTGTTGAAATGTGCAAAAAATACACACAGTTCTGAGATTTGACTGATTAGTTGATGTTTGGGATCTGCTAGCTCTGGTTGGAACGCTTTTTCCAAGAAATAAATCAATGCAGGATGTCTCAAATCAACTGGCCACGTATGCACCGCCACTTAATTATCCCTGCATAATTATACTGCTTATTCAAGACTACTGTTTTTTACTGAAGGGACAGCCATACTGTGCAACCAAATTTACATTTAACTTAAATAGTACTTATAGAACCAGACTGAACAAGATACTGTCACCATTTACTCACCCTAATGCCATTCCAAACCTACCATGGAATACAAATAACAAATGTACTAGTCATTCTTTTTCATGTAGTTACAATGCATGGGCATCAAAACGGGTAAGCTTCAAAAACACAAAAGCACCATATGCACCACATTTCAAGTCATACCATAGCTTTGTGCCATTATACACTGATTATTAATTTAAGAACTACTACAAGTAGATCATTGAATGTTGATTTGAATGAATTAAGGGGAGACACTGCAGGCAAAAACACTGTTTTTTCATGCACCTGTCAAATTTGAGATTTTGGGCTTTTTGGTTTTTCATAAAGTGTTTTTTTCAGACGAGTGGAAAGAAAAGAAAATATAGTGTTTTCTGTCCGTTCTAAGCATTTTCTGAATTATGAGTGACAAAAATGAGATACCTAAAAACTTTTGACTCTAATATGTAAACAAGATTAAACAAGAATTTTGAAACTGACATAATCCAGTGTTTAGATTTTTGTACTAGAAATGTATGCAAATTAGCACATATCACATTAAATAATGACTCATTTGCATATTTAAACCTAACATTTTAGAAAACTTGTAATACAAAAAATGTTTGCAATTATCAATGTAATCAATCAGCTGGGTAAGTAAGGCGATAACTATTAGTTTTTTTTTTTTTACCCTATTCACCTGCAGTGTCTCGTCTGAATCATTTGGGAACCTGATCAACTAATTAATTGAAAAGTTTTTACATTACTACGCAGGAAATTATTAAAGTATATGTGGCATAATGGGAAGTTCACATGCTCTGACGTAGCATCCGGCTTCATGTGCTGGCGAAATTGAATTTCAGCCATTTCCCGAAATCCTGATTGTTTCCTCTCCTTTGATAATGTGAAAAACAGCATCATATTTAGGTTTGGATCAATGGAGAGCAGGTGCTGAAAAAGCATACACATCTGGTTGTCGCAAATCTTAAGGTCCTTTAGTTTACTGTTTTGTTTGGGTTGTTTCTTATTTTGATTCTTAAAAACATTGCATCCACTCTTATTCTACAGCACCCCAAAAAAAAAAAAAACTGCTATTGCTAACTGCTACTGATGTCTGTCTGACATGACAGTTGTGTTTACATTAGATACTCTTCATAAGAGGGAAGTTCCTTTAGTATTTTTATTTGTAAACTACGGTATATTACTGCACATCTTCTTTAAATACAGCTGTGCATATGTGCTTCCTGCTGGGCTAAAAACACTGCTGTTTGTGCACTAGGCCAAGACAGAAAATGTGAGGTGACGGAGTGCATTGGCTGAGCTCAAATGAACCAACAGCAACCTGGGGGTGTCAGGAATGTCTATGGCTCCTGTCCAAATCTCCCGCTCACTATGGGCCTGCTCTGGTTGTCTTAGAGAACATCTTTCAGAGACACTAAAATGCGTAGTGCGTGAAATGTTTTTTCAAAAGAGTATTTATCGGACCATCCTTTGCTGGACGTGGCACCATGCCCTGGAACTAAAAGAGCATCAATATAGTTGCTGGAGTTCCTAAAGCTTGCCAAAATCGAACACTTGCCCATTAGCTTCATGATCGACACTCAATTGAATGTTGCCCGCAAGAAATTCTGCTGGGTTTGAAGCTGTGGAGAGATTATGTTTATTTTAAAGACACAGATGTGTCTCTCCAAGGCCTAAGTATCACTGAAAAACAGCCACATCCATGAGTCAAGAATGACAACATATTTTACTATCAGGGGACGGAGCCCCCATTACTGTATGAAACAGTAGACCACACAGGATGATTGCAAAAGCTCACATTTATTAAACGAACAATAACTGTGATATATTCATATTGTTGAAAAGGTTAGTTTATCTTTCTTGATTGATCTTATAAATTCTACTTCTCTGAGAGAAACAAGCTACAGTTTATAATAGGTCATCTGAGTAGTGCGTATTTGGAGAATGCTAACAAAGATACTCCCTACCAGTAGACGCTTTGCAGGTATGCACTTACGTGAAGCCAAAAAATGGCTTAAAATTGGCCTGTTTGCACAATTTTGAGGAAGGAAAACTGCATTATCAAACAGATGAATTCACTGAGGGATTCTGCATGTTGGTACAACATATTGTGGATTTAACAGTTACGTAATCAGAATAAAGCATTGACAATATCATTTTATATTGCGTGATTTAGGGTTAGGGTTAAAATGGGTCATGGATATCTGAAGAAGCGAACTGCCAACATCAGTGACAATCTGATGCAGGCAAGAGTGAAGTGATGGAAGTAAATCTCATGTTACAGCTAGTCATGGGAGTGTGCAGTTTCAATTACGTCATCTTCTATCTTAAGCCGATGATGTCATGTCAGTTCCAAACTTGGCATAAAAATAGGGTCATGCCCACTTTTCTTATAAGAGCCTGAATGAGAGGCAAAGAGAGTCTGTGTTAAATATTCAACCCTCTTCCATTAGAACGAACTGCGAACATGGCTCACACTGTCAATTTCATAAGACATTAACGAACGAAGTTTAGAAAGGAGATTAGTTGGGAGAAGAGAACGTGTGCATCGGATGGATGGCGCATCTAGTTTTTAGTAATGACGTATCTTCCATAATCCCTCAGTTCTGTATTCTTTTCCCTTACCTCCTAAAAATTCTGAGGTCACATTTTGTTTTTATCACCAGTAGGGGAGCATCATTTTAAAACAAAGCAATAATCCTGGAAAGCAACCATATAACTCCTATTACTGCTGGTCTGAGATCAAGGATCCAAGTCTTCCCAAATCCAGAACATTATGGTCAATATCAGTGTGTTGGGAACATTATGTTAACAAATCAGGAAATCTGTGCCAGGTTTTTGTAAAGCTCAGTTAAAAGCATTGTGTTTCAATGCTTTTATAAGGTTTGGGCAAGAGAAGGGGAGTTGATTGGGTTGTCGAGGGGAGGGATGAAGGGGGCCAACCTTGGCAACCACAACGAGACTTCCCGAATATAACGTAGGCTCTCCTCATTCATTCAAGCAATGAGGATACTGGAAAAAATTAAGGGTTATTTCTTTGTTGTCCAGCTGGTCCATTACAAGGTATTTTTTGTATTAAATCAAATTGCTTTATTGCAATGCAGGGGGTACTTGAGTACAAGCACAAAACAGTGGGCAAATGTTATCAATATTGACATTCTCCCTGGCGAACACCAGGTTGGCTGGGTGAAGTAAGCCGCTCTGGTATGAGAGCTGGCAAGCGGTTATCCAACACATCTGTGGGGAATAGCTAACTCTAGAGCCAACAAAGTTGAAGAAAACACAAAAACAAGTCATGCTGTACTGTTTTATTGGAATTGAAGTATGCAGATTTTTTTTTAAAAGAGCTTTCAGGAACAACATTAAGAGTATGATTTTGCACGAAGAACTGGAGAGTCACTTTATGAGATTGACCATTTTACCGCAAGTAGTTCATGAACTTGAAGATCAGCGAGGGCAAAAGGAAAAAAATTTGGAGGAACTTTAAAGGAAAGGAAACATGTATGCTCAAGAACTTCGCAAGGAAGACCTTTGCTTGAGCAAGTTTCTGAGACCTGTGGGAGGAGAACATAACCTGAAAGACGTATATGACATGGCAGATGGTCAGGATTGATCATATGCCATGTAGACATCAGCGTTCTTTGACAGAGCCCATGATTCTAATAGAGTAATGGATTTCCAATCCTTCTCTCAGGCAATCTGTCTAACCATCGAGTCAGATCAGATCACTGCAAATGGCCCTCTATGGATGCTGGTCAGATCACTGTAAATGGCTCTTCCTGCGCAAATACATAATCTACAATACACCACATTCTTCATTCAGCTGTTGCCTCTCTGAAGTCATTCTTCATTCAACACTTGTCTGTCTAGAGGCCAAACCATTCAGTAACTCCTCCTCTTCTGGGATCTGATTTCTGCCTCTGACGCTCATCCTCCATGAACGTCTCCTGCATCTCCTCAACAGAGCCCTCCTCGTGCTTCTTATCCTTCTCAGGAAAGATATCTGGGAACTGGAAGGTTTGCTGCTGAGCCTGTAAGAAAAGCAGGAATTGTTAAAGGTTTAAAGATTGTCCGTCTGTCTGTCATCAACTTTGTCATCCATGTTGTTCCATTTAATTTTTGTGGAACAATAGTTTTGAAGAATGCATTATGCTTCCTCCTAAAAGTAATAAATATCTACACTTGTACAATCTTTAATGCTTAATGTTACTGACAAAAATTGTTCATCAATTTCACTTCACTGGACAGGACACAGTGCCCTTTTCCGGAGATCTGCTCTCAAACGCTGCCTCTGAAAAACTTGCAGAAATAAATAGATCACCATATCTCAGGGGCCTGGCCCTTCTAAAACATTGTAAATTTTTTTGACAGACATGAAGGAGGAATAGGCCTTGTGAATGCAGAGAGACAATGTGCTAGTGCTGCTGGTACATCTCCATTCCAGAGACCATCAATATTTTTCCAAAGATAAAACAAGGTGTGGCAACAGCAGGAGGAAACAGGGACTGCAGTGAGTTAACAGTTAATGAAAAGCAGTGCCTTTTTAAAACAAATGCTTCTACTGGGATGATCTATTATTTTGGCCTGTTCTTTGTAACAAATGCAGTAACTTTTAAGTGAATAAAATGACAAAAGAATAGTGGAATAAAAAAGGAGGGGGGAAAAAACAAGTGAAACACTTCAAATCAACAGTTTGGCCTCCAAGGCGCAGCAGTGGCGCTCCAACCCTACCATCTAGGAATGCAAAACCCCACACTATAAACACGGAGTCCAGCCAAGTGAAAGTACAAGAACCAAACCTATTAAAAACAGGACCTTAGTAACGGAGTACTAAAATGGATGCCAAAAAAATGTTTGTTCCTTCACCTGTAGTAAACTTTACTTGAAGAAAAAAAAACCCACTATGACTAAAGACCGGCAAGGGGAACCGTTCGCATGACAATCCAAGAGTGGAGTTGAAAAGTTTGGAAGCCCTGACAGAGAGGCTGATTAACAAAAACAAGTCACCACATGACTGTCCACCGAAACATTAATGTACCTTAAACAAGTGCCTTATTGTTGGCTAGCACTAATGTTTATACATAATGTGTACAAACTCTTGTCTCAGGCTATGGCAAACACTTCCGCAGTTTGATTTAACAGAACAGTATTAATATTACTATTTCAAATTTAAAAGCAGCACTACATATTCATGTTTATTACGTAATAAAAGTAGTCGTTAGGAATAGCATGTGATACATTATCCAGAAAGTGCTAGATGCATCAATTACGCATTGACATGTCTTATTTGACATGTCTCCCCCCCCCACCCCCTGTGCGTAAAATAATCGAAATAAGGAAGACTAAAGCATGGAACAAAAATGTTGTTGTTGGGTTCAACCCAACATCTGTTCCTGTTAGACTAACCGACTCTCCCCCTCCTCCACCCCTCTATAAGTCAGGCCCTGAACTTACACCATAAACTGTACATTCAGTGGCTTTACATCAGGGATAGACGTGCATTCTGAGCCCTTGTGAGCAAGAGAAGTTTCTAATTATATTAGGAGTTAATGACTGAAAAAAACAGTAAATTTCAAAAACGTAAAATAAAAGAACAGGAAACAATGCATTAATGTTTCATTTAAATACATTGGTTCATAATGGTTTGTGAAGACAGATGTAATATTGCTTTTGGTCTCAAGATATTTCATAAAGAGGGCACATACTTATGTTAAAGGAGGAACTTGAGTCATATCTAGCAACCAATATATATATAAACTTAGGGGTTGGCTTGGGCCAATAAGCAACCACCTAGTAATGCCCAGCAATTACTCAGAACACCATAGCAACTATCAAGCATCCAAACAATCATCCTGACATTAGGAACAACTCGGTACACCTATTAGGAAATGGAAGGTTGTCATAGTTTGTCAGCCAGCATTGTGGTGGAAAATTGTATATGGCAAGGACCACTCAGAATTGAAAAAAACAAAACAAAAAAAAATGTATTTATTAAAAAAATGGGGAGTGTTCAGGAAACAGTCCTTATTTAGGCAATTCTGTTTGGTGATGCTAGTGTCAGAAATCACAGACTTCACCTTTAGTCTGATTTATATAGCATTTACTAGCCCACCTTTAAAGATTCTTAGAGTTAGTTTCAATGAATAGAGTCTGCAGTCACCCCAAATCAGTAACCGCCCTAACACTAGCACTCTTGGTGAACTCTAGTGACTCACATCCCACAATCACTTCCACGATCAGTCAAACGGGAACAACTGACATGACTTGGGCCAGTCTGAAAGGATTAGCAGTAGATAGTTTCCGTACATAAAGCACCACCCTCTCCCCTTTAGTCGCTGCCTTATCACTGTTTGCTCTATGACGATGGCTAAATTATTAGACAGAAGCAGAAGCTTCAATTTAAATGTGTCCGATGCCCTTTATATTCCCATAGATGAGGGGGGAAAAGAATTAACATGTTACCTTCAGAAAAAAAATGCAAGTACCAGAAGAAAACAGAATGAACTGGTTTAGGAGTATAAATTAAAAGGTTGTACAATTTAAATGTACCAGCAAGTTAACTAGCAAAACCCTCCAGTGGGAGTGGGATCAAGACATGGGTGTTTGCCGACATCTCCTCAGAGACATTCATTTTTCTTCTCATGCTTATCTCTATTTCCCCTTGGCCAATCACTGCTGCAAGAATGGAACTATCACAATTTTGATTTATTTTGCACCAAGGAGTTAAAGCCAAACAAAACGTATAAATCTGAGACATTCTTTGTATGTGACCACATTTTCAGGACTTTTAATGATGAGGGCATGTTTGCGTAATGTTGGAAGTCTATTAACAAGTTCATTACCAGACAGAAGAGCAGGAAATGCAGGGAAATGCTTGTAAACAGCTCCCTCTGCCAGCCTCACTGGGTGGGCCACACTGCTACTTCCTCTGAGTCCACAGTCTTAACTGACAACCGATACTCACTAACCACAGATATTTGGCTGCCCTGAGACACCTCATATCTCTTGGTCTTGACACACACCATACCAAAAAATGAGCCTGAATTGAGCCAAAAGTCACAACGATGGTGGGATAGTGGGTACAGGCTCCTGATAAAGTGATGATTTGTAGCTTTAATGGTTCTTGCAAATCAAAGTGGTAATTAAGGGCAGCTCTATGGCTAGACAGGAATTCCAAGGCTAGTCTCAGTAGCGAGGACCCAGGTTGGGACAAACAAATGGAAAACTCCCAGACTTGACCACAAGGGAGGAGCCGGATGTTCTCAATGAGTGCATGACCTCTATCTACTCCATCTCAAGAAACTCGCAAATTTGGTGCAACCTTTAAACCACAGTGACCAACAAAATGCTATGTGGATGGGTTTGTTTATATAAAAGTATGATTGTGTTTAAGTGGAATGCAGCCTATGTACAATCCAAAAATGTGCATAAACAATATAGACAATGGGACTATTGTAGCATTTCATATTTGATCTCAAGAAACAATAAAAATCATGGGTTTGATTCCCAGGGAACCCATGAAGCGAGAAAAAAAAAAAAGTTTACTTTGAATGTAAGCCACTTTGGATAAAACCATCTGCCAAATGTGTAAATGTAACATAAGCACACAAAAAAGTTGACTACTACAACAGGTATGGAATGACACGAATGAGGCAAGTTTATTACACCAAAAGCACTGGTCAGTCTTTGTATCCGAATTTGTTTCACCCTCTGTGAAAAACAGCACAGACCAATAGTGCTAATGTAAAGCCTATCTGGGCCCGTGCCAGACTGTCTGTCTGCTCTGCTTCACTCTGACGCCTTGACTGACTCCCAGAAGAGGACCAGCGTTTGTGCATAAACACTTCCTTCGGGCATGGGTATAGTGGCCCAGCTGTCAAAACCTGACTGGCCACAGCAGTAGAGAACATGATTCATGCAATGCGTTCCCCATGCCAAGACACAGCTGCCTTGCCAAACATGTGTGGGGGTCCAGAGCCTTTGTTCCCAAAACCACTCTAATGAATCCTCAACGCCAGGGAAAAGTGTGCGGAGGGAAAAATTAAACAAAGCATATTATATTTCCTCGATGAGGACAGCCATAAGCCAGACGTTTTTGTACCCATTACTGTAAAACAGAAGCAGGTTTCCACTGCAACTGGGGAACTGTTTCTCGTACACACGGGCGTAGACAATCGGCTGGCACACAGTCTGGCTTGTTAAATCATTACGGTCAAGCCAAGCGGTCAGTCTTAAGGAAGGGGTGGCAAAGTCTCCATTCAGAGCAGTATAAGCCTTCATGTCATTTTAAGCCACTGAGTCACTCGTTCCATGTTTGCAGTGATGACAGTTGTGACCGGTCGACTTGTTCAGACTTGCCCAAGTCCTGGCTATTTTTTGGTTTTTGGTTGGCAATCAAAGATAACCCCTACTTTTGCATGTAGGGTCCTGAACCTCTCCCTCAATCTCCGGTGTACAAAACACACAAAAGAAAAGAGAGGGGGAAAGGAATAGTGAGAGACAGAGACAGAAGCAGGAAAATTGAGGTGGTACCATAACAGGAAAAGCATTGCTAGTTTCTGTGTAATTTATTTTGAAAATGATACAGAAATAAAGCTGGGTGGTGCCTGGACATCGGGAGACTGATAAAACAGTAATGGGGTGGAAAAAGAATGGTGTTTCGTGACAATGAGTGTTTGTAGTAATACTAAATGAGAGTGACTTGAGGGAAATGCAAGAAATACACAGCTCATAAAGGACGTGGAGTGGAGGTGGAGGCAGGGCTTCAATATCATCTCCTTTGCTCGCGTCTGCTGGCACTCACAGCGGCCGTCTCGTAGTGGACGTACACTGGGGAACTGAGTGTGTGTGTGTGTGTGTGTGTGTGTGTGCGCTTGCTTCAAACAGGATGCCAGAGACCCCGCTGGCCTTTCCATTATTCATGCTGTGCTCCTTTCATCCGAACACAGCCTTACGAAAGCCCTTGTGGTGGATGAAATACTGTACATTTGCAATTAAAAATTGTAGTTAGATAAAAAAATGCCCTAATCACATGCACAACCAAATCTGATAAACAGTGTCAACGTTTTATACCAAGCCTAGTCCACCATTAAAAAAAAAAAATGCCGGCAAACATCTTATTATAATTCTACAATGACAAAATTATCTTGCATCTTTTTATCTACAATGACAAATGTATAACTCATACCTTTTACAATTTTAAACTTACACTATCTTTTCTATAATAACAAACCTAACTAGTTGCTTTTTATTGAATAAATGACAAACGTAACTTGTACCTTTTTTATATAATACAAAGACAAATTTACCTCATACATTTGCTACAATGATAAACTCACCCCGTACCTTTTCAATTTGACAAACTTACCTCATAACTTTTTGTTTCTACAGAGCAATGATAAATGAGTCTCGTACCTTTTCTAATTGATGAACTTACCTCGTAATTTTTCTGTTCTACAAAATCCAATTATAAATGTGCCTCATACCTTTTCTTAATTACAAATTTACCTCATACTTTTTCTAAATGACAAATTTACAATATCATTTCTAAAAGACAAACTTACCTTGTACCTTTGCTATTCTACAGTATGATGATACATTTACCTTGTACCTTTTCTAAATTACAAACTTACCTTGTACCTTCTCTGTTCTACAGTGCAACAATAAACCTATCTTGTGCCTTTTTAAATTATAAACTTACCTTGTACCTTTCTATTCTATTATACAATAACTTAGTCAGTACCTTTTCTAAATGACAAACTTACCTCACACCTTTTCTATTTTACAATTCTAAACTTAACTCTCTCAATGCTTGTGAAATTAATATTTCAAAACGTGTTCGAAGGCATGCAACACGTGAATTACTCATAGACATGTCAGTTTTCTTCTTTCATTACTTTGGCTTACAGTACTCTGAACTGCAAGGAATACATGACAGCAATGTTGTAGGGCCCTACATTCATTCAGCACCACTGAAGCCAAACGTTGCCATCTAGTGTTGATAAGATCACAATGTGAACTTTCACAAGCCATCAACTTAAAACAGCAAAAACGGAAAGGGTGTTAATTTGTGCATGGCAATCAGTGGGGGAGATGTGTGTAACAGGAAGGAACCCATTTGAATAGAAAAATAATAGTATGCCTTAGCATGGTTGAGTTTCACTCGGTTTTGTTGAGTGGTAATTGAGCAGAGTGTGCTCACAAGTTCAGGTGGAACATTGCGATCCGATCTGAAAGGTAGCCTGGCTACCAGCTGATCCAGACCGAAACACAGCCCCAAAAAACAACGACTCGGCAACAAGCTTTCAAACAACAACAAACATCCATTAGTACCAACAACAGTTGCCTTGTCTTGCTAAATACTTATGCCTGCAACAAGACCCTTGTGGAAAAAGCAGGGTGGTAGGGGGGCAATATAAACAGTTGTTGTGGACAAGTGGGCAAGCTGGAGTGTTCCCCCAAAATCAGTTTCAATGAGGTATATAGTTAAGCAAAATGCCAATTATACAACATTACAGATCAGTGAAATTCAGTGTAGGGGGTAAGTGATTCTGATAGGGAGCGTCTATACAATAACATGTGCTATGGTGCATTACGCCAGCCAGCCCGGGAAACTACAGACGCAACATCAACAAACAGAACCTTTATACCAGGACCGAACAGGTCACAGCCTTGCAAAGGGAAGCACAGGATATCATTTCATTTAACTAGAGCGTTACTTGCAAAGCGGTCGTACCTAAAACCTTGATATTGTCTCAAGATTTTATGTTGCTTAAGATTTCCCTGACCCCTGTCTGGACCTCCCTGTTCTGGCACGGCTCCATGGTGCCCTCGCTCACCTCGCTTCATGTGTCGACTCCATCCGTAACCCCCTCCTCCTCCTTGATGAACTCTCTCTCCTCCCGCACTCCTCCCCACCGTGGGGAGGTCTGATGAGAGAGTGGCCATCAAGGAACCGTACTAACACACGGCTTTTTCAACGAGCCTGGAGTTTGTAAAATCTGAGGAGGGGGGGGTTTGTAGAGAGCGTTCCTCACCGTATTGCCTCTGGAATATTAGCTGATGTAGTGCGTTGGGGGGGAAGGGCTGGCGGGGGGAACCGTTGAGGTTATCCAACCACAGAACACTCCCCCACATGTGGTGGCTTTTTCAACGAGCCTGGAGTTTGTAAAATCAGGGGGGTTCGGAGTCGTAGAGAGTGTTCCTCAACGTATTGCCTCTGGAATATTAGCTGATGTAGTGCGTTGGGGGGGAAGGGCTGGCGGGGGGAACCGTTGAGGTTATCCAACCACAGAACACTCCCCCACATGTGGTGTCAATTAGGAACAATCTTGTTTTCACCCACCACTGAAAAGAAAGGAGGGCTTTTCTTGGGCAGTGTTTTTTTGCAGACCTGCTGGAGGAGAAGAAAGAGGCCGGAAATGTGGTTTCATATCAGTGTTTTTCGCCGCGGTCTAGGGATGTAACGGTATGAAAATTTCATATCAGGATTATAGTGACCAAAGTTATCACGATTATCAATATTATCACGGTTTTGTTCAAATTAGATGAAAACGTTCAAAAAGAACTGATACACACACTGAAAACAAGTTTTATATTTGAAAATCAACAAACAACAAATACAATTAGCGGTCTGAGATTTTTTAGCTTGCATGTTATTCACACATAAATAAGCATGACTTTCTGAAAGATTGGACAACAAGGAAGTAGTTCTCTCCAGAAATGTTTAAGCAAATATGGCACTGCATTTGAAAGAAGACAAATGTTAGGAACAGGATGCAGTAATTCTCTGGATCCAAGTCCCTAACTGGGTTTATGAGAAGGTTAAATAGATGGCGCAAAGCCACACAGGAAGTCATTCAACTCTTGTCAAGTGGAAGTTCACCTTTAAATATTAATTTGTGTTTTGCTTGTGTATCCCATTACAAGCCGCTCTGTTTTGACAAGTTTAATTATTTATCCCTGCCTTGATTGATGGCTGAAAAAAAGAGAGCAAACAATCCAATGCTTCTCTTGAAAACTAAAAACCGTAAAGAAACAAAAGCAGCTTTCCCAAATGAATCAAAGGAGATCAGATTAAGGTATTTTCATGCCAGCATACTTCAAACACGGTCGGTATCAACAGCCCAGGGCTCTGCCCAAAAACAGGTGTGAACCCAGCAGCGCAATTCGCCACTGGATCGCGACCAATGCTAACGTTCTGATGCCCCAAGAAACAACGCTCCCATCCGCCCATGATAATAACCATAGCTCTCTGAGAACTTTGTACTATAATTCCTGCACAAAGTCTGGCATGTAACCAAAGACGACCTCTTGCCTTCTTGGCCAAAGCCAGAACCCAAACTGCCGCCTTTCTCAGGAGGGCAGGGGCGAATATGTGGGAGAGACAGAAACTAAACAAGCAGCGATGGGACTCAGGGAGTCGAACATAATAAGGTGAGGGTTTTGCATCAAAGAGTACCTGTGCCTTGGTTTTTTTTTTAAGGGAACATAAGCTGTGATGGGCCCTCAAAACAAAGAAGAAACAAAAATGCAGGGCTTAAATGCCCAAGCATCCCATTTCTCTTGTTTTGTTCAATAACTTCAACTAAAACAATCCATCTGACCCAAGCACCCATAATCAATAAAGTCTTAAAAAGGGAATTTAAATGGTCCTGTGCTAATGATGGGGGCATTTTCTGAAAATCAAGATGGACAGAAGAGACCACAGGTACACACAGGGACTTTAACAATGAATGTCAGGCACTTTCAAATATAGGCCTCAACAGAATAACACTCACCAGTTGAACGTATGCCACTTTGTAATCTGGCCTCTTCACTCGCTGGTTTGAGTGGTTTCGTTTCTTGTTTGTACCTTGATAGAAGAAAAAAGGAGATGATGAATATTTAGCTAAAAGATTATTGTAATTATTATTAATTTACAATTGCTCATTCTCAATACCGTAATACAACACTTATTTTGAATTTCATTTAGAAATTATGTTTTTAGTAAACAATTATGTTTGGTGGCACTAGAGGAGGCACAAATTGCAGATACACAGTTAATGAAAACTACTTAATATATATACTTAAATAACAAAGCATACTGCAACAAAGCAAATACTATCAATGTGTTTGTTTAACAACTAATAAATCAACCAGTAATATCTGATTAATGCTGACTAGTGGTGGTTGAAGAGATTCCTCCCTTCCATGTAAAGTGCTTTCAGTACCCAGAAAAGCGCTATATAAATGTAACAAATTATTATAATTATAGTAAGACCTCAGGTGATATAAAAATCACCTCTCCAACTGTGTTGCAGCTGGGTATATTTACATGGACAGAATTACACCTTCAAAGAAGATTGTTATTTTTTGCAGAATATTTTAGATACCCAATATGTATTTTAGGGTAACAGGGGGTTGGGTTTATGTTAAGAAGCCCATGTTTTCAGTCATGTTAACCGTGGAATGCATGTTAACCTTTTCCCAGCTAGCCATGATGTAATTGCACAAAGCCTGCTGGGTAATATTCACAAGAACCCAGAGAAAGAAGTCAAGAAGTACATCTGAACCAAATCACTTCCAAAAAACAAGACAGTGCAAGAAGAGTAAAAAGATTAAATCATTAAAAACATAACACACTTGGTGAATAACAGCATTGTTTTACATTAAAATATCTTTACAGCATGACATTTGGTTCATTCAGTCAGAAAGTTTAAAGGTATAGTTTTTCATACTACAAGTTCATAGTGACCATGTCTACTTAGCTCCAAAAAAGACCAATAAATACACCAAAATTCAATTTAACTTGGGTCCATATAATGTGTGCTACATTTCAGGTCTTCCGAAGCCATACAATACAGGCCAAAGTATAAGTATTTATTGATTTGCTGACAGTCAGTTTTGGAGCTTAAGAGCTGTACTGTCACAAGGAACTGTTGTTATACAGAAATTTCTTCAGATTCCTGTTGAAAGTTCTGCAATGATATAAGATTTGAAATGATATGAGAGTGGTATAGTAATGTCAAGATTTTGCAGTGAAATCTCTCCTTAAAGGGTTAGTTCACCCAAAAATGAAAATTAGCCCATAAATTACTCACCCTCAATGCATCTTAGGTGTATATAGTTAATAATTTAATAATCGCATGCTGAAAACCAACCTCATACGTCGTCCGCCCTGAACTGCTTCCATTTACAACAGTGAGCGCAAGCTAGATTAAATTGATTATTACATTTTAAATATAATTATTTTTTCTTACAAAAACACATCAATTCGCTACAGGAGGATTTTGTTCACCCCCCGGAGCCGTGTGAGACACTTTTTTTTTATGGTTGGCACTTTTTATTTAACTTCTTTTGGACTAATGCACCGCAACACCCGCTGAGTGCCATTAAACAGCTTGGAAGATCAAAGACAATTTTTTATATAAAACCGACTGGATTCGTCTGAAAGAAGAAAGTCATATACAGCTAGGATGCATTGAGGGTGAGTAATTTATGGGCTAATTTTCATTTTTGGGTGAACTAACCCTTTAAAACCTGCTCAACAAAAAAGTTTAAATGACGACCTGTGTGATGAGTTTTCTTAAACAGGATTGGCAGTCTTCCTTTACTAGTACAAGGAAACCCTAAACACACAAACACTCCCTCCATTTAGGGTCAAATGAACGGTCAACCCGCAAAACAGGTGAGAAGCGCTTTTGTTCATGTATGCGAACTCTGTTTCCATTCCCGTACTCCCACCCAGCATTATATAGTATAAATAAATATTCAATCAAGCTCTCTTTTGAGGTTGTGTGTTGGCTGGCTACTATTATGTTACAAATCCCAGGCCTGAGGGGTAGTTATAGAAACCCCTTCCAAAATACTCAGTAGGAAAAAGAATAGACGCCTTGAGGCTGGGGGTTCCACCAGCGCCCCCTTTTCTCCACATCCTTTAAACCATCAGTGGAGTGGAGCCCATGACCCAGAGCGGGACACCTTCCCTGACGTGGTCTATTTCACCTAATGGGTGTTCCGCATTTTTTTCTGCCTTTACGGTGTGGCTGTAAAAATGGCCACTTTGCTTATTGGCCCTCTCCAGCGTTGGTGTGGAAACCGCACGGAAAAATCCCAGTGGCGTAAACCCAACTGGCAGCTCGTAAAAGTGGTTCCCTCTGCGTTAACCAGACGGTAAAGCCTGTAATAACCCCAGCATTATTTACTTACCCGTAGGCATTATTGTTTATGTTATATTGCCGTAACCTTTATGCTTTAAAGGAATAGTTAAATTTTTAAAATTATGCAATTTAGTCACACTCATGTTGTTCCAAACCCATATGGCCTATTTTTTATATGGAAAACTAGATTAAAAAAAAAATGTGTATGCAAATCTTTTCCATACCACGACAGCTCAAAGTGGCCACAGCTGTTAAGCTAAAAAAAAAAATAATAATTCCTAAAAGCACCATTATAAGTGGTCGATACAAGTACTATATTCAATTTTTTCTGAAGTCATACAATATTTTGGATATTTTTGTGAGGAACAGACCTAAATTCTATTCACTGATAATCTTCCCCACAGTAAGCTGTTAACTTGAGAACTGCGAACAGATCATTGAGTCACTGAGTTCAGAACTTAGATTTGTGAATTAACGGTTTGTCCGGTTTGCCAACCAGATCAACCAGTTCACTGAAAAGAAAAAGCTCAAAACCGATTATGCCTAAACATCTTGAATGTTTCTATCCATTGGTTGTTGGTTGGATGGAGGCAGATCTGAATGCGAGCTTGCAGTCTATAGAGCACAATAGTCTGGTTCTGGAAGTAAAAACGCCATTCATTTTCTCCATAGGATTTTTAACAATGCTGAAGCTATCAGTTTGCATTATTCAACTGATGTTTTAAACAATCATAAAAAAGTTTAACAGCTGAGTCCCTGGTGAAAAACTACATCACCAAACTACATTAATAAGCAGAGAGTCGCAACAAGCAAATTGTGCTAAACAAGCGCAGAGCTCCACCCACTCCCATGAAGAACTACAAGTTATGTAATAGAGTCAAAACACTAAAATATATGTGCATATTTTGCAAAAAAAAAAAAACTAAAATATATTGTTTCTATGTACAATCAACAACTTTAAATGGATAGTTTTACATTTCTGTCATTCACCAAGGTTCAAAGGATTTTAGATCTTTGACTCAGACAGTGTTGGGCAAGTTACTCTGAAAATGTAATCAAATTACTGATTACTGATTACTCCTTTTAAAAGTAATCACGTTACTGTTCTGATTACTTTATTTCAAAAGTAATTAGTAATTAGTCACATTGCTAAAACACGTGTTATAGCCTAAATAGAAACTCTGCATACGCTTGCACCTGTTAATCGTTTATATTAGTTAATGTTGCTTTTGTGCAATAGATTAATAACAATTTATTTGTTTCAGATATTTTATGTTTAGATATTTCTATTGTGCGGGAGTCCCGTGAATCATTTTATTCTCCCGCATCCCGCACACACACACACACACGAGTCTCTGCACTCGCCTATCAAGTCTTGTCCCGCTGTTGCATCGGGTCTCGCGGGAGAGCAGGACTCTAATACACTGGCACTTGACTCGACAGTGCGTGAGCTACACCCTTTTTACAATCTAGATTATAAATCACTGCATTCTGTCAGCAATGTAACGCGGCACGTATAGAGACATCGGCTTGTAACTATACTCTAATTACTATTTTGAAAATTATAACGCGTTAAAAGTAATCCAATTACAGTAACGCCTTACTAAGTAATGCGTTACTGCCCAACACTGGACTCAGAGCTGTTAAGTACAAGGTCTTGTACCTTTGTGTTTTTGTCATTTTCATTGTCATTTTTGCTTCAATACAAAGTTTGTACTATTGTGATTAACATCATAGCTGGTTGGCTTGGTTCATGGCTTATAGAGCTTTAACAAAGACGTTTCTAAAATCCATATGTAAAAAAATAAATGGAAAAAAATGCAGCTGAAAAAATGGGCAGGGACTAATGCACTCTATTGTAAGAAGGGGTGGAGTTTATTCGGACAAAATTATTGGAGAAGCATGACATGCTTTGCCAAAAGTCTGATGTTTTACAGGTAGAGGATTATGACATTTCGATTAAAAAAATGACAAGGTCTAAATAAATAAATAAAACAAAACATATTGAAGGACGACCAACAACATACATTTTCTTTTGAAGATTCTTCTGAATCTTTATATTTCAATGTGATTCTCGCACAAAGCTGTAATGTGGGTTCAGGACCTTTTTAATTTTTTTTGTTATTTTTGGCACCTTACAGATGTGATTCATTATGAACTGTCATTGTATGAAAAAGAGCTGTGTGAAGATTTTTTTTTTAATTCTCCTTTTGTGTTGAGCCTACAGGTTTGTAATGGCATGATAGTAAATAACTAAATGATGAAAGTTTCTGGTTTGGGTGAATTACTCCTATAATAATGACGATAAATAATAAAAAAAAACACTGTTGTGTAACACTTCTGGCAAACTTTGTGAAGAAATAAACAGGGCAGGGCATCCTAGGACAACTGTCGACTGGAACGCTACAGCCATGGATGGAGAGATAAGCAGCTGTGAGTGGAATCACGCAAACCACTCCTTCTTTCACTTCCCTCTCCTTCCCTCCCTCAGTGTCTCCCACTTGATCTGAATTCTGCAAAACACAGTTCCCTGAATTAGCCATATGTTTATACATAAAATTCAAACTCCCGCTCGGCTGTCAAGTATCTCCAAAACATCTTGTCAGTATTGATCATTCTCACTGACTAACACTCATACTACCCCTATCTAGGTGACCGACCACCCCAGGAGCGCAAACACAAGTGATAAACATAGAACATTGGCGAGTTGTTGTATAAGGACTTCATAAAGTTCAGGCCAGTTGATGGCATTGCTGCTGTCAGCTGAGTTTGGCTTGCGTTGTTAGGCAAGTCGACCACAAAACAGAGTGAGCAGAGGTGCAAAAGAGTGAAGGGGGCTCACAAGACATGCTCTCGCATGCAAAAACAGCAGAATGTACTGGAATGGACGAGAATGGAGAGGCCTTGACACCCTTTCTAATCTAGAAAGTGATTATATCTAATCAATTCATCTTAAAAATGCAACTATTAGAGCACAAGATACACTGTAAAACCAAATAGTAAATCTTTGATAAAGGAATTGGGTTGTAATTACTCAAAATAAATAAAAACGTTCATTCGCCTCTAATTTTTTGAGTAATTAGTACACAAATGTAATTTTAAGTTTACAGCACTCAAATGCTTTCATTTGTTTTTGGCAGTGTACTCAAATAGTTTTAGTACAATCCCGTCTGACGTCACGCACGTGCTTACGTGCGCCGCCCTCAACTAGCTGCTGCAACTTTTTGAAAAGACGCCATGTTGTTGTTGCTCGCTGACTCGCCTCGGATTTAATTTTTTTAAAATAAGTTTGCAACGCGCGAAAAACTAGCTCGTATTATATAAAAAAAATAATGTAGGAGGGGATATTTTTTGATCGCCTGTGAGGACCTTTGTGGGGAAACGCGGCATGCGGTTTTCTGAACCTGCTGGTGATGAGCTTCTCTTCATCGTTCAGCCCGCGCAACTGGTAAGTTATCGTAAGTTCCTTGTTTTATTTGTTTAAATGTGTTTAGTGTCTTAGCAGTTAATGCATTTTATGCATTTGCAAATGATTTGAGCCATTTTATCCCGCGTTACTAAAGGTCAAAAATAGATTGAATTGATGAATCACTATATTTAGACTTTTTTTTTATATCAAAGTCTGTCTTTTTGCATTGAGTGTGCACACATTAAAAATGTTCGGGTAATAAATTGTAATAACCTCAAAATGGCGTTTTGAGTCGGATATTTCGTTATAATTGGCTAGCATTGCTGGACATACAGTTATGATTTTCATAGAGGTTTCACAATAATTTGATTCACTTTGTTCCACGAGTTGTACATTTTTGTAAGGACAGGTATTTATAAATGTAAGTAACATTATTTGGCTCAAGCCATACCAGTAAAGCTTGTGTTACTTACCTAAGACATTTGTGTTCTTACTTAAAATTTTATATTTAACAAATCAAATTATACAGTATAAATAAATATTTAAAAATTTAATGTTTGTATTATGGGATTAAACTAAGCACCATATTTCACTTAATGCCTATTAAAGGATTAGTTCACTTCTGAATTAAAATTTCCTCATAATTTACTCACCCCCATGAGCCTTGTTTACAAGTAGAGGAATGCACATGCATGCGTCGTGGTACTATGTTTACCACCACTAGTAAACAACCTTACTATGTTTCTGGGCCTGGGAACATTTCAGTTAAGTTGCTGTCTATGGAGGGTCAGAAAGCTTTCTGATTTTATCAAACATATCTTAATTTGTGTTCAGGTGTAATTCTTACAGGTTTGGAACCAACATGAGGGTGAGTGATTAATTACAGAATTAAATTTTTTGGGTGAACTATCCCTTTAAAGTAATAGTTTGCCCAGAAATGAACATTTG